TTGTTGAACCTCACACCATTGGCCTCAGCTCATGGATCTGGACTGTCCAGGTCCCTCTGTAGGGCCATCCTGCCCTCCAGCAGGTTGACACTCCCACCCAGCTTAGTGTCACCTGCGAACTTACTGAGGGTGCGTTTGAGCCCCTCATGCAGATCATTGATAAAGATATAAAAGAGAACCGGCCCCAGCACTGAGCCCTGGGGGACACCACTTGTGACCGGACACCAACTGGATTTAATTCCATTCACCACCACTCTCTGGGCGCTGCCATGGGAGACTCCTTCCTGCAACAAACCAGCGTGTCGTCCTGTTTCCTCAGCCGTCAGACCTCAGATATGAAAAAACCCACCGAAATTCATGCGTGTCATACTTTGCTGCTTGCCCTTCCTGGTCTTGAATCAGCGCTGTTATGTCGGGAATTCATTTGCAGCCCTTCTCTCATGGTAATAGAGGGGTTTGGACTATCCTTTGTAGAGGTGTAATTCGGCTGGGTGTCATGGCAAAGATGAAGCATGTGCCAAACTGAATCTGAGCACTACATCTCCTGCCTCCCCACGAAGCACCGCTCAGCAGTGGCACGCTGACGCACAGCTGCCTCCGCCGCTGCCTGCCCACAGGAAGGTATGCCAAACACTCATTTTTCACTTATTGAATCACCATCATTAACCACGATGCCGCCTGTTGTACAGACAGCTCAGAAGACAATTCGCAGATTACCTGAAGCAGAAACCTCTCTGCAAACCCTCTTTTTTGGGGGTAATTGCGTGGTGGGCGGCAGGCGGGGCAGTACGGCTCTCGGTCAGGCGGCGGTGGCACATCTGGCTCCCGGGTGGTGCTGATGTGGGGCGGAGGGATGCTGGGCTCTGCCGGCGTGGGTGCGCTCCGAGGGCCGGTGCCCTGAGCTACGGAGCTGTTTTTCTCAGTAGCTCTGTGAGCTAAGCTTAACCTAGACCCACGAGGAACCATTGCCATTAACAATGGAAGTTTTTTGATATTTAGCTATAAAAACACAGCTTTGAGTAACTCATTGTAATACGTGCGCTGCTGATCCCGGCGGCTTTAGGACAGCGTTCGTGCACCGCCACCACCGTTGTGCTCTGTTACCTTTATCAATCACTTGGGGTTAGATTTTAACATCAACAGCTGTAGGAAGAAGCTGGTTTGGGTTTTTATTTTGTTGTAATTTGGATGGCAGGCCTGCAAAGGGAATGCTTTGTGAGAGAGATGGTGATTCCACTTGCCTCCCTGTGCACAAATCCCCTTTCTCTGCTTTAAGTGATTAAACCCAAACCCTGGTGGGGATAGCTGTGTGAGCTGGAACAGCAAGGATGCGCCAGGGACGGCTTGTATTGCTTTCCAAGCAGGGTAGCGATGATGCTGATGATTATGGAGGGTGGGGGAAACAAGCCATTTTAACACCGATTCTCGCTTCTTTGAAAAAGACCCGATTTGATTTCAACTGAATTTTCACTGTGGCTAAATTTATTACCCGTGATACTGGACAGAGCTGTGGTATCGTACTGCAGAATGACCAACATGGTCAACATGACCCTATTAAATCTACTGCATCTGTTAGCTGCTTGCTGACCGCGGAGCTTCTGATTCCCTCAGCAGGGTTTTGTGCTGAGTATCTAAAAATCCTCTTCGTAATCTGAATATTCGGGTTTTGCTATTGTGAGTCCTTCTAATCCAGTGCGTAAGAGAAGCTGATAGCTGGGATGTGCTGTGCTGCCGGGTCATTAGTTGGCTTCTTGGTGAAAGTTTAGACTTAAAAACAAGGACCTTTTTTAGTAGTAAGGGTAACTGGTTACTGGAACAAATTACCCAGAGGTGGTAAACTGTCACTTGGAGCCTTTAAAATACGATTTGTTACTTTAGAGAGAGAGAGACTAGTTCAAACTGGACTTGTTCAACTGTAGGGTGGAACAGCTGGGCAAAATCCATGGGGCTTGGGCGTGTGGGAGCCGGGGCAAAGCGACTCTTGCGGATAAGGATGATCTTCAGTGTTTTTATGTGCCCTGGAGGGTTCGTGCAGCCGCGGGCTGTACCGCTTTTCACGTGCTCCAGCAATGGCTGTCCCGCTGGCTGGCTCCACTTGGATCTAACAGGGAGTAATTGGTCCCACAGTTAGTGTTTTATGTTTCGTTTTATGCAAAAAAGGTCAAGAAACTTCAGATGGGCAGAACTTGACATCCTTACATCTGAGCTGAGACCTTGGTTAGAATTAGCTGTGGTGATTTAAGGTGTTAATGACAACAGGGTCCTTCCCTGTAGCTGCAGAGGTGCTGGTGTTCGTCGTGCTCGTCCTGTTCTGCCCTGCTGCGCCAGCCCTAACAAAGGAGCCAGGTTAGTAGCTATATGCGCTAAACTGTTAAATGACTGCAGCTAAATTAGCAGAGCGTTTCACGTTGCAGCCTTCAGGAGGAAATTCTCCGAATACTTTTGACGAGCTTCGGTACTAAAATTTTTTGAGTGCCAACAAGGTGGAAATAAACTGGAGCTGCCTTGCTAAAACCTAATGGGTTTGGGTTATACAGCCCCTTCTGTGCTAATACGTGGTGTCGCTTAATAGGAACGGATCAACAGTATGCAGTCGGTGTTGCTTAGGCTCTAACGTAGGCATATGTGTGCTTTTCAGGGCGTTTTACGTAGGACTGGCTGGGGTGCGGGCTCAGGAACTGAACGTCCATTAGTGGAAGCCATCTCTTGGTTTTCCTCTCATCCAAAAGGCATCTGGTCCTCGTGCACCGAGGCCGTTCCGGGCGGTGAAGCCGGGGACGGCAAAGTGGAAGCGATGGGTGGACTCGCTTCAAAAGCGTGCTCTGGCTTCGCGTTAAAATGGTAATGTAGGGGCACCCAGGGAGAAGTAAAATGGCACTTCTTGGAATAGCTGAATGTTTGACTTTCTACATAATAGATGAGTATATATCTTAGATCCAAAGATATTCCCGGAAAAAAACACCCATGTGTATGGGGGTGTGCCATGGGTTCGGTAAAAGGGTCGCGTTGCAATAGGTGAAGCGGCGTGAAAGCGTCGGAAAGAACAAGCGGCTGCAGTCGCAGGTTTATGTCTCGGAGCAGGCTTTTAGTTTGCTCAGTGCCAGTTGGCAGGTTTCCGATTTTGGGGTGAATGGCCCTCTGCTACCTCGGGGTGCAGGCAGCCACCTGCGGCTTGGGACAAAGCCGTCGTGCTCGACGCACGCTCAACGGGGCTTTCTAGCCTGCCTGCACCTTGGGTTTTGTGGCTGCCGAGCATGGGAACAGCAAACTAACCATTCAATAAACATGTAGCTTTATTCTTGACTTTATTTGGAGACTTCAGCTTTCATTTTTTTGAGCGTGGAGTGAAGAACAGGCCAACATCGGGTCTGCCGAAGGCTGTGGCGTAGTCAGAACGAGCTCCTGGTTTTAATTTCAGTCACTTTTCAGTTACCTTTTGTGACGAGAATCAAATTACTTGATCAGGGGGGTGACAAATCTTCAATAATTCATTAAACTTAATGACTTTACAACATCCTAGTTTTTCCCCCCTACGATTTTGCTTAATTTTTATTTCTGCTGTAGAGTGGACTCCGTGTTTTAGATTAAAGGCTGCTCATCCAGGTATTTCAAACCAGCCCATCACCTGGAGAATTGATAACTGGCGTACCCTCATTTGAGTGCTGCTAAACGGTTTTTCTTCTCAACAGGATAATTATATTGATCGTGGCTTAGAACTTCAGAAATTGGATTGCGGTTGCATAAAGTGTGTTTCAAAACTCTAATATAAGCTATATTATACAGGGAAAAAAACCTCCCAGCAAACCCAGACCATCGCTATTGTTCTAACGCTCCCAATTTGATACAAATTAGGGTATTTTCGACCCAGCGTCTGCCTAAAAAGAGAGAAGCTGCCACTGCGTCTTGGCCCCTTGCCCTCCCTTTAACAACAGGGGCTCACGCGAAACTCGCTGTATCGAACCGTGGCGAAATCCAGCTCTCAGTGGGTGGGCCTGGAGACTTACTCGAAACGTTGGATTTCATCCCCGAGAAATGTTTGATAAGGATTTTACCTTTAAAAAGAATTGATTTTTGGCTTTCGACTGACTGCTCGAGAGCAGCCTTCTGTGATAGCTGGGTGTGAAGGCGTGCGAGGGAGCACTGTCGCATCGGAGGCACAGCCCTGCGGGCTTCTAGTCTGCATAATCACTGAAAAAAAACCCCCAAAACAAAGCAGCTGGCAATGTACTTGATATGAATAATACCGGGTTTACTTTGAGACCCTGAATACCCGTTTACCTCTTTGTCTCTTGTTTTTCAGGCTGGACGCAAAGAGAGAAGCGATGCGCTGAACTCTGCGATTGATAAAATGACCAAAAAGACCAGAGACTTGCGTAGACAGGTAATGAATAGATAAAGTTGATACTTGTTGAGACAAATGAGTGCATTTCTGTATGTTTGCCCTCTTGGAAATACGTTGTCGGTTGATTTGGTTCCCGTGGGCAGTGGGCTTGCCTGCTTGTATTTAGTGAATTAAAAGCTAGAAGCTTCCGGTGCCTGGTTCACGGGGAGCTACGGGGTGGAAATGTAATCCCCCATTAACTGTGGAGTAAAGATGTTGGATTCTTCATCATCCTCATGGGAAGAGAGATTATTATTTTTTTTAAAAAAAAAACCCAACCCTCCCATTTTATAGATTTTGACCATAATCAGGTACGTTGTATAATTCTCCTGGTATTCATCTCAGTCTGTTTTCTTTGAGGACTGTATTTATGTAACATCAATCTCTTGTCCGTTTGGTTTTTATAGCAATATATTCCCCTTTTCAAGTAAACGTGAATATGGATCAAGTTTGGGGAAAAACGTTTTGATTCAAGTAGAAAAATAACCAAGTTAAATCAGCCTGTTGTTTAATCAGTTGAGGGAAAGCAGCAAATTTACTCAGACAAAACCAATATGAGCTGCTAAATCAATATTTGTGGCCAAACTGGTGACTTGCACTTACATAACTAATCCGTTTTTTCAAGGAGATTTTATTTAAGTTGAAGCAAAAAGGGTATAGACAAGACTTAGTGCAGGGAAAGCCTTGGTCACACAAAGGAAAAAGGATCAACGACAAAAGTACTTTAAGCTTTCCGTATTAATACAGTGAAAGGAAAATAGCAGTGGAACATTACTGAAAAATAACTCATTCTTTTATTTTTATTTTAGCTCCGCAAAGCTGTTATGGACCATGTATCAGACTCTTTTCTGGAAACAAATGTTCCGCTTTTAGTATTGATTGAAGCTGCCAAGAATGGGAATGAAAAAGAAGTTAAAGAATATGCCCAGGTTTTCCGTGAACACGCCAACAAATTGATCGAGGTAAGATGGTACAAATTAGAATTAAATTATCACGAGTTAAATTAAGGCAAGACTAGGCAAAAAACATTTTTCAGTTCTGTTGAAACAAATAGCAAATTCTGTAATAAATTTGCTTTTAATATTTTATTTTAATGAATTTAAATACCATTTCATTTAATATTTAAAGAGTTAAAAATGTAAGCTTATCAAAAAGCAGCAGCTACTGTTACACAACCCATGTAGTTTGAGATATTCTACAATGTGAGTATATTATGCTATTACCTTTGAGCTGTTAATTGGAGATGGTGATGCGGCTTAAAGGAGACTATGGCATGGTTGTTCTGATGTACGATTTGACCCGTTGCTTGAAGCCTGGAGGTTTTTTCTCTTCAGTAAAATACCAGTGGATATAAACAGACCTTTTATGTGAAGACTTTTAGAATGAAAACCTGCTTGTGTGCGTGTAAAGAGCAAACAACAAACAACCAGCCAACTGGCAATAACAACAAAGCCCATCGCTGCCACCCGTTCCTAATAAAACCCTAAAGGCTCTCAGACAGCTGTTAGGGAAGACTAAAGCTAATCTGCGGGAAGATCAGCTTAAATGGGACCGGCCTGGCTTAATTAAAACGCATTAGAGCTCATTAGTCTACTATTACAGTTAATAGTTTTCCAACAGGTAGTGTGTTTACAAAGAGCAAGGGAAGTTCGCACCCTGTATTCCTGGATGCATCTCCGTAACCTCCTCCTCTTGCCGTTGTTTTCGTGAGCGTTTTGTGCCTGTTGATGCTACGAGGCAAGGAGCAAACATCTACAGGTGTTGTTGAAGAAACATGCCACTAGGAATGAACTTCAAAACCTCCTCCTGTGCGCGCCGGTGTGGTTTGAGGCATCAGCTGCCTCGTGCGCTTGACCTCAGCAGCGACCTGGGAACGCTCCGCCGCTGGTTCATGTGGTGTCACTGGGGTCGATCCGTGAGTCCCTGTGTCTCCTACACTCATCGGGAATACTTTCACACAGCTTGACAGATTGCGGTTCCTTAAGAATAAGACTTATCGTACATCAGAAAAAGTAGTTTCTTACTCTTGCTCGATCCATTTTTCTCGCTGTTGTTAAAGCCTATGGGGCTCTGAGTGCGGTGAGCAGCTGCCCCGCGCTCTGGGGCGCATCAAGCTAGTCCAGCTCTTCAGAGTTGCTGTCTAAGCAAGAAAAATCTTTAATTCTTCAAAGGTATCCGTTCTTCGCTTTTGGCCTGCTGCTTTTCGGTGTAAATGCCATCTTCATATAGTTTGAAAATTATTTTATTCTAAATTTGAAGTAACTGTTTGACAAACCAGTGCTGCCGTGCCCTGCCTTGGCAGCAGATACAGCCCTTCCACCTGCGATGGTGGGAGCACTTTGAAGCGGGTTTTGTCTAAAGCTTCCCTCCTTCCTGGTACAAGCCTGATTTATCTAGAAAATTGTTTTTAGGGCTTGTTTCCAGGAGAAGTTGACTGGCATGACAATAGCAGTGCTTATTCTGCCGCAGTCCTGCCACCTCTCCAGTGGATGTGTGGTGTCCGCACGTGGAGATTATCGGCATAATGACAAAGGAGTAATTGTGCTGCTCCGTCCGCGCGAGCTTCTCTCCCGCCCTTGCTAGGTGAGCCCTTTCTCCCTGCTCCTTCAGGGTACGTGTGCCGTCTGAAAAGCAGCGGGGGGCTGTCCTCACTGGCATGTAAGAGTGGTTTTTACTGACCTTACCCTGTGTGCAAAATGCCGAGCTGCAAATGAGTTTTACAGAACCTCCCTTCAGCAGCCAGTCTGTCTTTCAACAAAGACTATTCCCCTGCAAGTCTGCATTAAACAATATTTCTGGCTGGCATCAAAAGGTTCTGCTAAAATGATATGCTGCTACAACAACTTTTTGAAGGCTTGCTTATTGCTTTTGCTGTCTAAAATGTAACTATAGCTATAGAGTAGCATGATCTAGATGGCTTATAAACCTCTTCTGTGAATGTAGATGGATTAATATATACGCTTAGCTTCGACAGAAGGGGAATAGTATTCCTGCAGAGCCCTTGTCTCGAGGGGATAGAGAGCCACTGCGGAGTTGTATGCAATGTCAAATTTACCGTGAAGGAAGATGAGTTGGGGTGGGTTGCACTTACAATGTCTCGGCGTGTCTCTGCCAGAATGGAGAAGGATGTTTGCGAGTTCCAATATAATTCTGCTCTCGGGTAGAAGACTCGGCTGCGGGTATCTGGAGAAACAATAAAAGTTTGTGTAAGTGCAGAACAGAAGATGTTCCGCTTGGTGAGATGAGAAGTGATTGCTTCCACCTGTTCTCAGTGGCAGAGAAGTGTGCCGGGGAGTTGATCGTAACTCCCCTCCGAAACGCTGCGGAGTGACTCAAGGCATCAAATGTGACAAAACAGCTGCAGTGCAGAGTGGAGCTGTGTTGTGTATCACGCCGGGATCGACAGGCTGCTGTGGCTGAGATGTAGAGGAGGACGTGTCCTTTCCTTTAAAGCTGAGCGATGGGAAGCCACACACGAGACCTGCTCTGCGCTAGTAACTGGGAAGATCCCTCTCCGAATTAGGGAGAGGTTTTACACCTTGGATTTAGTGCCCCTTTGTCCTGTGACCTGGAGGAGTCAGTGCTGCTCTCCTGGTGAACCAGCCACTAGAGGGGACTGTGATATATATATTTTTTTAATTATTTTTTTTCCCCTGACACTATAGTGTTGCAGGTGTTGGCGAGACAGGAGGAGTGGCAGTGCTGGTTCTGCCCTGCGTTAGCACGGGGAGATCTCGCTCCTGCAGGGCAGAGGTGTTTGTGGGCTGGCCGAGAAGCTGTAAAGAGCTGCAAGCACATGATTTGCGTAATTTTATTTTGAAATGTTCCCTTCTTGGCAGCAGAGCACTGTCAGCTTTCTGGTTCCTAAACTCCGGGCAAGCCAAATTTGACCAAAAGGTGCCATAACCACAAAAATCTGATTTGCCCTCTGTGTCTGTATCTTCTAGAGTAACCGCACCAAAGCCGCGTCCCACAGGGCTTCCAGCTGATTTGTTTCTCATGTAGGAAAACACTAACCCCCTTATCCTGCCTTTTGAAAACTGGGAAACAGTAAAATAGTAAAACAAGACTTGTCTCAGTTGAATAATACGTTTGAAAGATAGCTTTCAAAATTGCTCAGTACTAACAGTCCATTAACTACCTAGCGCTCTGCCGGAATTTTGTTAAAGGGGTTTAATTCAGGAACTGAGAAGCCAATTTAAATGCAGCACACAAGAATAACAGAAAAGACAGCGTTTTGCGAACCAGCGCCAGAGAAAGTTAAATTCACTGGCGAACTATGACAATCTTCCTAATTTCCTGATTGTAAAGAACATACTTAGGTTCCAGTGGTTTTTACGGCGCTGGATAAAGTAGCCTTGGCTCTGCGACCTGAAACTTTGCTCTTGAGGAAAGGCAGCTTGGCATTGGCATCCTTAGATTTAGTGTTCCTCCCTCGAAACTAGGCTGTCCTGCAACTCCGTGCTCATTTTTCAATGACGTCACTTAGCGCCACGCTGACTTTTTGTCTGTCCCAGTCTTTGAAGCGTGCTTGCGCACCAGTTGCCTTTGTACCGCTCCCTGTAGTCACCGCAGTGGCACTTCTGGCTATTCTCTGATAAGTGAAAAAGCCATAAATGTTAAGAAGAAATATTTTGCTACACTCTTGAATGCTTTAGAAAAATAAAAATTAGGTTGTCTCTTTGTCACTGTTTGATCCTGTGTAGTTGTAACGGAAAAGTTTTTCAGAAATTAGGCAGCTGAAAGGTAGGTGAGGGCAGAGCCCAGGTGAAAGCTTACAGTAGCTGTTTGTGTGCTGGAGAATATTTTGGAAAAGAGGAGTTTGTAATTTCTTAAAAACAGTGAATAATCCTGTCTTAGAGGAATGAGTCCAGTGTGCCTGTGTCAACACGTCTCTTCTTGGAGAAACTTCGGTAAGACCAGGGAGGGAAAAGCTCTCAATGATATTTCATAAGCATCAATGTTTTTCCAATTGCTTTAATTTATCTGAAAAGGCTGCTCTGTGCCTTTTTTTAATGCACTGGGTTGTATCTTGCATACGGAGAGATGATTTTCTCGTCTTCAGTGAAAAGCCATGAACAGATGCAGACTGCAAATTTATTTGCCTGGAAAGAATCACATTTGGGCACTTGCAACTCCATCAGCTGTCCGTAGCCTCTCGCGCTGACATTTTCGCCTTCTGTTGCCCTGACTGTCTAGCCTCACGTCCTGCAGTAATTCTTCAGACCTCCGTTTAAAAATAGCCCTCTCCAGAAGCCCAAAGCCTTGCACGCTCGCAGCGTTTTTATTGCAATTTAACCTGCTTTGCCCATCCTCGCAGCCTATGTATTCTTCAGAGAGCCTAACAGCTGCAGGTTTTTTCACATGTGAAAAGCTTTTTTTTAAAAAAAATAAATCTGAAGGGAGTAAAACACAGCCTGGGTTTAAAATAATAGCGAGCTTTTGGACTTCAGACACAGCAAAGGTTTGGAAAAACTGAGGTTTACCTACCCTCTGTCCATGAACTTACCTGGGCTTACGTAGTTACCTCTGTGATAAAGGTACGCACTTAGCGTTTGGGCATCTTACGCGTTTACTAAAAATGAAGCGTGGAATAGAAGTATCCAGCAAAGCTAGAAATAAATCTGGTCTCACAAGATTATCCCTTGTGTCTAGGAGTGACCCGATTTCCCAAGTTTACAGGAAGTTTATGAAACTAGCATCTTTGGCGGTGGGAGTGCACCGCCTTTGCTCAAATCTTTAAATATTCTTTTTTCGCGTTTGCCATCAAAGAGATCCATCAGTCCTGCCAGACGGCGATGCTGTTGGGTGAAAACTGCGCAGACAAGCATAGCACTTGACACCCAAATCAAATATTGACTTGGAATGTTTTCCTGAATCTTTGGGTATAATAATCTCTCGAAACTCAGCATTTTCCAGGCTCGGGTCGTTGTCAGGCATTGGGGTGTCTCAGCACCTGTTT